AAATATGTGCAATGTAATAGGGGGGCCATGCCTTCGGATGGGGGCCCCCCTAAAAACCGTAGCAGTTATCAACATTACCGTCTTCAGTTTTAAATAGACGAAGGATTTATCTACAAACTGAGCTTTAAACTGTTTTTCTACATGAATGTATGCCGACACAGTGAGGTGCTGTTTTTTATGCTTTTTTTCCCCTCCCCATTCATTTCCTATGGGATTTTTTTTGCGACGTTTTCGCTAATAATTCGCAAACCTTCGGACTAATGAGAAAGTTTTATACAAGCACGCATCGCACCATTGGTCCCCTACGCGTGTGCCAACTTTGGGCCCGATCCGACGAATGGTGCGTGACTAGTTACACGCCGAAGTTTTTAGGGGACGAGGAGAACTATAAGCTATAATAATAATACGCGGAATAAATATGTGCAATAGTAATAGGTGGGCCATGCCTTCGGCATGTGGCCCCCCTAATAAATATGTGCAATAGTAATAGGTGGGCCATGCCTTCGGCATGTGGCCCCCCTAATAATACGCGGAATAAATATGTGAGATAGTAGTAGGTGGGCCATGCCTTCGGCATGTGGCCCCCCTAATAAAGCTTTTAAATCATTAAAAAAGGAATCACTGTTTTCAAATTCTTATTAATTATAAAAAAAAATACAAGAAAATGTAAGGAGAACCATAAAAAGTGCAAAGAAAGAATACTGGAGGAAATTTTGTTGCTCAGTAGGAAGGGAGACAGACATTGGTAAAATATGGCGGATGATAAAAATGAAGGAACAGAATAAAAAGAGAGTATGGATACCCAGTCTTAAATGATGGACAAACTATAGCAGTGAGAGATGAGGAGAAAGCAGAGATGCTGGCTAAAACTTTTATAACAATTCACAGCTTAAATATAAAGGAGGGAAAAAAGGGAGGGAAGAAAACAGTAATGGAGAATGAAGAGTTACTGTCAGGCTTGGAGATTATGTACGGGGGCTTTTAAAACCACTCCAACGGCAGCACTACAAGTGGAAATGGGCGAAATGCCTCTTGAGTTAACAAGAAATTAGTCATCTCTGAATTACTAATTTACAGGGTCCTAGTGAAGATCATCCGGCACAAAGCACTTCAAAATCTTGTTGGCAAATGGAGAAGAGGGAGAGTAAAAGCTTTGGGTGGACAGTTAAACAAAAAGCAATAAAGTTTGAATTAAATGATTTAACGTTCAGTCCAACAGTACCACTGCCAACAGTACCACCTTAGATTCTACCTGAAGCGAAAGCAGATCTGACACTATTAGAAAAGAAAAACAAGGATAGGGGGTGTATCTTGAATTCACTTACAATACAGGCATATATTAATAGTTACTACAGTTTCATCCAGATATATACAGATGCATCAAAGAGTTTAGTTAATAAGATAGGAGTATATTTTATTGTCCCAGAGTTTCATATTATAATAGGAAAGAGAACCAGTGATAATATCTTAGTATACACAGCAGAAATGCAAGCAATTCTGTTTGCAGTACAATGCGTAGAGGAAATAAGACCACTGAGAGTGGTTATTTGTTCAGATTCATCGTCACCACTTATCAGTTTACAGAGAAATCACTCATATAGCAGAGCAGATATTTTATTTGAAATCCAGCAATAATTATACAGAATTCAAATGATGGCATAACAATCATATTTTTTATGGGTAACAGCATACAGGGGAGTTAAAGGAAATGAAATGGCTGATAAGGCTGCAAAGGAGGCTACAACAAGAGATGCATTTGATCTGTCAGTTAAAATTAGTAAGATGGAGACAAAGAGCATAATTAAACAGAGACTGAAGAAAAGGTGGCAAAAGCAATGGGAAGAAGACAGGAAAGGACGGTGGTTTTATATGGTTCAGAGGAGAGTGGGAGAACTCAGATGTGCAGGAAGGAACAGAAGAGAAGAAACAATTATATAATTAATTAATATAATTATAGACTAGATTTGGGCATACAGGATTAAACAATACTTTATTCAAAATAGGTAAAAATAACACCGGCATGTGTGAATATTGTGAGCAACAAGAAACAATTGAACATGTTATGGTACAATGTAAGAATTATGAAAGAAAAAGGAGGGAATTGGTTGAAAACCTTAAAAAAGAGAGAATACACTTTAATTCAATAGAAATCCTTAGAAAGAACTTAAAAGTGTTATGTAATTGTTTTTCATTATCTTAGATGAATCAATGTAATTGAGAGGATTTGAATCATATTATGGTTTTGTTGGTTTTTGTTTTTTTCTTTCTAAGTAGGTAGTAGCCATTCAGATCCACAGTCCATACCAGTTGGTGGCGGTAATGCGCCATTAAGGTTGCGTGCCAACCGCCAATAAAGAAGAAGAAGAGGTCGCTTTAGCTGTTGCTAAATTAAACTGCTAACGTTGCTAACAGGTGGACGCTGGCAGGAGTAAGTATGAAATGTGTGCTGAAATTTCATATTTAGCTTAACAAAACTAAGTGTAATCATGAAAAAAGGGAATTCCTTTTTTGTTTCGAGTATATACCCGACGATATAATTTGGAAGTAAAAATAAATATCATGTTTAACTTGTAAACGTTGCCAAATTTAAAGATTTTATATCTTAGGAAGCTGACAGGTTGATACAGATCTTTACATGAAGGTTTCGTTAATTTAACTCTGGTTTTGCATTCTGCGATGTATTGTGAGGTTGGAAACACGGGGATGTTAGACAGGGTGAACTATTCTCTGTCATTTAATTGAGTGTATATGCTGTTTTTTGCCAATGCCGCTAGTAGCCTATGGCAGTGGATTCACGCCATGTTAAGAAATTAATAAACCGATTTTGTGTTTTTGGGCTGCGTCTTCCAAGGAAAATAAGGAGACTGGAAGAGTTTTGTCTGTGTATTCAAACCGCTCCAGAACTTAGGTAGATTTTACCGCCGTAGGCTGTCGCCTAGCAACCGTGACAGTGACTCACAAAGCAGGAAAAGAGTGAATACTGAACTTTTCAAAACTATTTACTTCTTTTATGTTTTCTTTTTTTTTATTGTGAAGTGAACAAAGACTACACTCATGTGAATACAGAGTGGAAAGAAGTTGACAGCCACCCGGGAGCATGAACAAATTAAAGCAAATATAATGATATAAACCTTAACCAGTTAAATAACATGCTGCTGTCATTTTCCACATTTCAGATGTTGCTGCTATCTTCAAATATCCATTACTTTAACTAATGTCCATAGCTGTAAATTGGTTATTATTCTCCAGGTGCACTGTTTTTATATTGTTAAAACACTTTACAGTACAGTGATGTATTCTTTATCTTTTCACTCTTCATTATTATGTTATTCTTATACATTTTTCTAAAGTCCATATTTGTGTGACTATTTTTTCTATAATCTTTTTGCTGCTGTAAACATCAGAATTTCCCCATTGTGGGACAATAAAGGAATTTTCTATTGTATTCTATAAAAGGGGTAGAAAGATGTATGTCAATCTAAACAATGTATTTATAAAAATCTGCAAAATCTATTATATTCAACAACAAAAAATACTTTAAGGAAATTGTGCAAAATAGCAATAAAAAAATAAAAATATCAGATTTATAGTCCACACACTGCAGATATATTAGAATCTGTCCTTAAATATCAGCCAAACCCATTTGCACAGAAAAAGATAAAAACCTTTAGATATGTCAAACATTACCCGCAGCATATCTGACTCAATAACCATTTAAAACAACAATTTTCCTAAATTTTAGATGGAACTATTCTATTGAAATGTACTTCCAGGATCCACTTCCAGGATCCACCACTGTTCGGCGCCAAGTACTTTTTTTCCTCTTCTCACAGAGCAGCCCACACACTTTGTTTTACAATGAATCCTGGGATAGCCAAGGATAGATGGAATACACCGGACCCATCCTTCATCTAGGGCTAAAATAAGGAGGCATTTATAGGCCACATAATGTCTTGGAATCCAACTAGACTTTGGCGTTGTGCTATGACGTAATCGGCCTTTGAATCTTGCCTTTAGAGGACGCCTCCAATAAATGTGAGTGCAGCCCATCTTTGTTAGCAGATCAGTCAGTACTGGTTACCATATTAGTGTCAAAATAATAAAATGGTTAAAAACTCGTTTTTTTAACTGATTCAAATCACCAAAAGAAAGCCTTTGGAGGCATTTGTCTTAAATTTGTTAGTTGGCTATAATATCTATTAGTATAAGACCAATAAAATAACTGATTTTGAAATGGTCGTCAACTAATATATAATCGATAAATTTTTAACTAGAGCATAGAGACTCTAAAACACGTCTTTAGCTGACAGAGCAACTCAGAGCAGCAATCATACAAAATATATATTTTTTTTAAGTAAATATTTTAAATTTTTTATTTAAGACAAAAAAAAACTTTTTTGTCTGTCAATATGCTCTATCCAGTACTCCTTAAGTGGAAAAGTTTTAGTTTCACCTGGCTTCATTTTTGTAAAAAGTCTTCTTTAAGGAACCTTTAGCTATCCTATTATTAACTGATTAATTGAAAAAATAATCAACGGATTAATTGATTTGGAAATTAATCATTAGTAGCCGCCTTATTTGAGACTTGCTTGGTGGAGAGAAAAGCCTATGTACTGTAGGTGACTAGATCTGTGATAACTGGTCAAGGCACACCAAAACTCTGGAATAGGATTTTCTTTGTCCTCTCAAGTCCGTGGTTTGCCTTTTTGCTTTTGCAGCTTTTCCCAGCAAACTTTTCCTTCAGTGTAACTTGTTATTTAAATGCTTTGAACAGAATTATTTTAGCTGAGTTATGTTTTACACTCTTTGTGAAGATTTTAATAACTGTAACATGGACCACTGTCATCCTGCAGTTTTCACTTTGATATTTAGCCACATCATAAGTGCATCAAAATATGTCCTTTATTAGTTGATCTTAAAAAAGGCTGAAATAAAACTGAGGTTTTTATTGCTTGGATCATTTTATTAATATTTTTTCTGTTTAAGATAATCTCAACATGGCCACACCAGTGTCTGTGCTACGCCTACCAAAAGGTCCTGACCCAAACAGTCGTGGGTTTGACCCGAGTTCTCCTCGTTTCATCGCTCTCTGCCGCACATCCATTCCTACTTCGGCCGGAGCAGATACCGAGCAGCTGCTGGAGGAACAACATGCACGCTCTGTGCTTAGAGAGCGTTTCCTGCGCTGTCTGCTTGCCATGAGTAACAAGAAAGTTCACTTTCGCATGCACGAGAAGGTAAACGTCGAGGCCACATTTGGGGCGTCGGACATTGACGTTCTGAACTTTCAAGTGTCTGATCTGCACACTCCCATCGGGGTACAGAAAGAAGCCCTCATCAGATGTCATGATGTAATTTCATTAACATTTGAAGTATGACACTGGGTCTAATTTCAATCAGAAGCACTTTACTGTCTCTGGTTTGATTCTGTGAAAACTCCTTCAAAGTGTTTTTTTTTGTCTGTTTTTGTTTTTTCTCTCTACCGAGGTTGGTATTGATGCCATATGTTTCTTTTAAAACTCTGAGTCTGATTAAAACATTGTGACCTACAGATTCACATCTTTCATTTACAAACGGTTTGTTTCACCACAAGAGGGAGCCATTTATTTTTCATTGATGGCCTGGGTAGTAGATTAGTATAAAGATTAGTATACGGTAAATGTCTTTATATTGTGACAACTGTTATATTTGTGCTGACAGACAGTTTTGTCAGATTAACTGACATTTTGATTGGAAACCAGGCTGGAAGTAGTCATTGTTTAGGGTGTTGCTTAATGAAAAATTGATTAAATTGGTGGCATAACAGCTTGTTTTTTGCAGTACAATTGTGTCTCAGACCTTTTTTCTTGACCTATGAACTTATATCGCATTATTCAACGTATTGCCTGGATGGCAAGACTGCACTCTTCTTTTGAGAAGCTACAAGATATTGCTTTTTTCATTAAATAGTACATGTATTGCAGCTGTGTTAGAGCACAAATTTCAGGTTCTTACAATTTCTACCTTTATAGTTGTTTTCTCCAATTTTTGTAGCTTGAAAATAAAATTGTCGATCACCGATGCTTTTCAATACTTTTTATTTGAAAAACAAAAAGGCTTCTTCAACATCCACTGTATTGCAGATGCTTATATTGCTTGCTTATGTTTCAGTTTAACAAGGGAATTTATTTTATTTTTTTTTACCAGGATCGGCTTCTTTAAATACATCCATTCTTAATCAAATTTGGACACACCTAATCTTTTTGAGCTTTGTATCAACAGGCTGTTACAATTACTATATTTTTCATGTGAATAAGTTATTTACTTAATTCATGTATGGATTGCAAAGCATTAAAAGTTTCAATTTAATGTTCCCTCCAAAAGATTTTATTATCCTTGTAGTCAACCTATGCTGCATTTCTAAAAGTGCAAACTTTTAATTATAACCTCAACAAAACACAAACATCAAGTCAGAATACTTAAACACACACAGTCCGTTCCTATTGGATTTAGGAAGGAAGCAACACTAGGTGATACTAATTAAGTAAATATCAGAAGACTTGGCCACATCTGTTTTGAATATGATGCTAAGGGGCAGTTTTGAATTCCACTGCAGTATAGACCTTAGCGAAGCAGTTATGGCTGTATGCAAGTGTGGGAAATGTTATTAGGTAATCCGTAAACTATTTTTGAAGTCTGTCATTCTAGTGTGAACAATAATTATGATGGTTGCCAAACCTCCCAGGGATGGATGTGCCAGCAAGGTCAAACCATGCAATACTCTAAGAACTTGTAAGCAGTAAAAAGCTACACCTCAGCGTGTTAGCTCTTAAAGTTTTATGGCTCGATAACTGGACGAAGACAGGAAAGCCCATTTTCTCTTGAGAATGTTGAAATAGCCAAAAAGCTAAGTTGAGAGACTGGCAAAAGGCAAATGCAAGCACAGTAGTGGAGGGATAATGATCTGGACTTGTTCAGCAGCAAAAGGGTCTTTTTTTTTTTTTTTCTACAAACAGCTTGTCAACCATGAACTACTGTATATACAGAAGCTTTCCAGAGACATAATTACAAGTGAACTTTATTTGAACTTTGCAATTCGGAATTGCAGAATATCAGAAAAGAAAACAGGAAAGTAAAGAGCAGTGTAGAGGCGTGCACAGACATTTTGCGGGCAGGTGCTCAGGAGGGGGGGAGGGCACTTTTTAGTGCACGTGGAACACTTAATTATAAAAAAAAAAAATATGCACGCATGTTGAATGAATTTTGACTTTTATTTGTAACATTCTCTAAATGTGATTTTCAATGGAAAAAAGTCACACCATCAACAGAACAGACTAAAGCGTACTACTTTAAAGTAGTACGCTTGCTCACCTTTCTTCTTTCATCTGGCTCATCTCCCTTTTTTCCCTCATCCATCTGTTCTCCCTCATCCTGGTGGTCTCCCTCATCCTGGTCTTTTTCTGTCTCTGTGTCTTCCCTGAACCCTTCCTCATCTCCTGTCCTGGTAGATGTTGATGGTATAGAGCTTCCCTGTTGTGACTGGCTACAATATAATAATAACCATCATGACAATAATAACAATAATAGCTTTAACAAATATGCCACATTAGTTTAAATAATGGGCTATTAGGGCAACATGACTGGAAGTCTTGTCATGTGGATATGAATTATGGTAGCCTACAAAATAATAGCTACAGGTGCTGGTCATAAAATTAGAATATCATGAAAAAGTAGATTGATTTCAGTAATTCCATTTAAAAAGTGAAACTTGTATATTATATTCATACATTACATACAAACTCATATATTTCAGATGTTTATTTTGTTTAATTTTGATGATTACAAATGACAACAAATGAAAATCTCAAATTCATCATATCAGAAAATTAGAATATTACTGAAGACCAATAAAAACAAAGGATTTATAGAAATGTTGGCCAACTGAAAAGTATGAACATGAAAAGTATGAGCATGTACAGCACTCAGTATTTAGTTGGGCCTCCTTTGGCCTGTATTACTGCAGCAATGCGGCGTGGCATGGAGTCGATCAGTCTGTGGCACTGCTCAGGTGTTATGATAGCCCAGGTTGCTCTAATAGTGGCTTTTAGCTCTTCTGAATTGTTGGGTCTGGTGTATTGCATCTTCTTCTTCACAATACCCCATAGATTTTCTATGGGGTTAAGGTCAGGAGAGTTTGCTGGCCAATTAAGAACAGGGATACCATGGTCCTTCAACCAGGTACTGGTAGCTTTGGCACTGTGTGCAGGTGCCAAGTCCTGTTGGAAAATGAAATCTGCATCTCCAAAAAGTTGGTCAGCTGCAGGAAGCATGAAGTGCTCTAAAACTTCCTGGTATGTGGCTGCGTTGACCCTGGACCTCAGAAAACACAATGGACCAACACCAGCAGATGACATGGCACCCCAAACCATCACTGACTGTGGAAACTTTACACTGGACTTCAAGCAACGTGGATGAAGTGCCTCTCTTCTTTTCCTCCAGACTCTGGGACCTTGATTTCCAAAGGAAATGCAAAATTTACTTTCATCAGAGAACATGACTTTGGACCACTCACCAGCAGTCCAGTCCTGTTTCTCTTTAGCCCAGGCAAGACGCTTCTGTCTGTGGTTCAAGAGTGGCTTGACGTAAGGAATGCGACAGCAGAAACCCATGTCTTTCATACGTCTGTGTGTGGTGGTTCTTGAAGCACTCACTCCAGCTGCAGTCCACTCTTTGTGAATCTCCCCCACATTTTTGAATGGGTTTTGTTTCACAATCCTCTCCAGGGTGCGGTTATCTCTCTTGCTTGTACACTTTTTTCGACCACATCTTTTCCTTCCCTTCGCCTCTCTATTAATGTGCTTGGACACTGAGCTCTGTGAACAGCCAGCCTCTTTAGCGATGACCTTTTGTGTCTTGCCCTCCTTGTGCAAGGTGTCGATGGTCGTCTTTTGGACAACTGTCAAGTCAGCAGTCTTCCCCATGATTGTGTAGCCTATAGAACTAGACTGAAAGACCATTTAAAGGCTTTTGCAGGTGGTTTGAGTTAATTAGCTGATTAGAGTGTGGCACCAGGGGCCATCAATTTTGAACCTTTTCACAATATTCTAATTTTCTGATATGATGAATTTGAGATTTTCATTTGTTGTCATTTGTAATCATCAAAATTAAACAAAATAAACATTTGAAATATATGAGTTTGTATGTAATGTATGAATATAATATACAAGTTTCACTTTTTAAATGGAATTACTGAAATCAATCTACTTTTTCATGATATTCTAATTTTATGACCAGCACCTGTATTTTAATACCTGCTGATTTTGTACAAACCACTTAAAAATAAAATGTGAACAGCTTTTAAGATTTTTCAATACGATTAACCCTCCTTTCTTGGCATTGTGCTGCAATTACTAAATCAATATACAATTAAGACAATAAAGAGACCAAAATGTGTTAATTTATGTTGCCTAACAAAACCTATACAACAGAAAACGTTTGTCTTAACACATAGATTTGCAATTGCAAACTCTACCGAAATTATTTGTAGCCTATGTGGTCGTCCTCACTTTATCTGTCATTGACTTGAGCTACAGTGTAAAACTTTATCTAGCCTAACTAGTTTATCAGGTGACCAGTCGGCAAAAATACTTGTTTGGTGCTGCTGAATGAGACATTTTAATGCACAACAAAATGATTTTGCTTGATCTGTATATTACCTGGCTAATGGGGCACGGGAGAAGCAGCCTGTCAGCGACCGTTCCTGCTATCTGAAGACACTAACTGAACTGCTATGATGCTGCGCATCTGGCATACCCTGCGGGCGACCGCGCGAGTTCACGTGACAAAGGAAGAGAGATAGGCTGGTCGGGTGTGCGCGAGGAGGTGGCTCATTTCGGGGCATTGTTTCAGTCGTTTTTAATGGCTCAGGTTTTCAGAATATCATTTCAAAACCGACCTCAGTAAAATCTTAATAATATCAATAATAATAATAACAATAAAAAAAAAAAAAAACGAGTTTCAAAAGGGCATTTTCGTTGATAAAGTGCAAACTTCCTAGTGCTTTAGCACCACCTAGTGTCTATGTATGCACTCCCCTGGAGCAGTGGCATAGATAGAGCCAGATAAAGGAAATATTGGACTACAGACTTAAAATAATGTCTAATTTAACAGTTTAAATAGATCAAAAGCAATGTTTAATAAATGGGCTTTTAACCTTGAAATGAAAGATGGAACAAAGTTTTCTTCTTGATTACTCAAGCATTAAAAACTAAAAGCTGCTTCTCCATGTTTGGTTCTGGTTATGCAAAGTGGACTTTTATTAGTGATTTATAGACTAAGATAACTACTTTAAAGTCGATTCTATGAGATAAAGGGAGCCAATAAAAGGACTACAACTGGGGTGATGTGCTCTCTTTATTTAAGTCAGGACATGGGCAGCTTTTTACAGTAAGCAGACCTGTAGAGACGCCATAGGATAAATCAATTTAATTAGAGATAAAAGGATGGATTATGTTTTTGAGATCTTGCTGAAACTTTAGTCCTTTAATCCTGGAGATGTTCTTTAGGCTTATTCTGTCACTGATCAGCGGTTTCAAGCTGAAGCTGTGTGCTAACCTTTGATCCTTTGTTTCCAAAATCAGTTTGTCAATAAAGTTCTTAATATTGTATTATGTAAGCAATAAAGAAATGACAACTAGGAAGGGAAAAGTTTCATCATAAAGTGAGAGGCTGATGCTGAAAATATTTCAAAAACATTATTTCCAATCAGGAAAAATGTAAGTTTGATACAAAATGGCAGTAAAAGACTTAATAATCATATAGCATAAGGTTCCTTGAAGAAGAATTT